CAGCTTGTGTACAGCTTTGTCTATAAGCTCTCATGACTCTTGCTGAGTTGGGGAAGTAAAGATAAGGATAACGCTGGTTGAGAAAAGTCGTTAATTCATTTATGAACAGAGCATTGCAGAATGGAGAAGGTAATACTGTACTGATCTTACATCTCTATTGCGCTTTCTGAATCTATAAAGACAAATTGTAAGTTTCAGTACTTCCCCCTCCTTTACACCTTTGTCCCTGTTTGTTCCATTAGCATTAGCTCAACCTTCATCCCACAGTGATGGTGGAAAAGTCAGAACTAAATTATGATTAATGGCGTGAATTAGATTTGCTGTTGTCATTTTGTTATTGTCGTTGTTTTTGTTGTTGATACTCTCGTTGTTGTTGTTGTTGTTGTTGTTGTTGTTGTTGTTGTTGTTATTGTTGTTGTTGTTGTTATTGCTGTTGCTGCTACTACTGTTGATGTAGTAGTTGCTGCAGCTGCTGTTGCTGATACTACTAGTAATGTCATTGTTGTAAGAGTTCAACGCCCTTCCTGACACAAGTGCTCGATTTTGAAAGTAAAACTTCTGCAGTGAGTTGAGTGAGTACTGGGGACTCATTTCGAGATGTGTAAACATTTTTTCTAGAGTCTCAGATTTAGTCTCATAATCTCTCATGTTTTCACTATTGTGTGTTTCTTCTTCACATCTTGGCTCTTACCTTACAATTTAACCTTCACACTAAAAACACTTTGGATATGCATTGAATCTGACACATTGAAGTTTGGTTACTGTTGACAGAGGTTTGGGGGGGGGGGGTGCCATTGCTTAGTATCAAAAGGTCAATCTACCCCAAAACCATTCAAATTAAAAATAGTCCATTCAGTGGTTCAAAATAACAGATAAAGTAAAACAATATTGCTTGTTTGGGCTCTATATTCCTTCAGAGAATCGTCGCTGAAGTAGGCCTACTGGAAGACTATATAGGATTACAGTCAATATCGGAGAATGGGCGGTCTCTTAGCTTACGTTTTGCCAAACGGCCTACCAGAGGAAAGAAGGATATTGCCAACCTGACACAAATCCTGGACAAGACCTCGACAGCCTACGACACAGAGAAAAACGTACAGACAACAAAATTGGTGAAGTAGAGACCAAAAGAAGAGGCATCAAAACAGGTGAAAAAGCTACAAAGTCCACAACTTTAAGTATTCAGTAAAGGAAGTACCAAATGAGTACCTGTAGGACCATGACAACAGACGATGAATAAAGGATAAAAAATATCGAAGAAATGAGATGGTAATACTGTATAACACAGAATCAGACCATCCAGTAAGCTAGGAAAACCTGCTGACTTTAGTAAATAAATGCACACGATAGTGGTACGAGCACATCTCATTACCGCATGCACTTGTCAAGCCAACGATACTATTCTGAGGGGCATAGAACAAAGAACGAGAAGGGAGAGAGAGAGAGAGAGAGAGAGAGAGAGAGAGAGAGAGAGAGAGAGAGAGAGAGAGAGAGACAGACAGACAGAGAGAGACGGAGACAGAGGGACAGAGAGACAGAGAAAATATACAGGATAAGATAAGATGTAACAAACCTTTACTGTATTATAGCCAGACGTCGGCTCATTGACTTGGCGTTTCTCCACACACACACACACACACACACACACACACACACACACACACACACACACACACACACACACATGAACGCATGCACGCACACACATACATACATACACACACCCACACCCACACATGTATATCCCACACACGCACACATGCCTGCGTGCCCGCATACATGCACACAAGTACACACGTACCCTCTTATACACCCTCTCCTCCACACACTCATATATGTATATACACACATAATACATGTATATGCCAAGACAAACAGACCCAATTTATCGTGCAAATGTTGATATATGAATAAATCATTTTTGTTACTTTCTCAGTATTTCAATAGTAATCCAATGGCAGTCCGAGAGCACATGCTTTAAAGGCCATAGAAACACTTTTTTTTACAAGAGATGCGAGAGCAGCATCCAAGAACGTGCAGATTAAAAGCTGAGCGACGCACTAAGAGTAAGAGTACTATCATAGAAAAGAGATGGGTACGGGAGGCTGATCGCCAAATCACCCTTTGCTTCATTAAGCCCGACAACTACATGTACAAGGTAGGTAGAAGCTCGAAACAGTGGTACTTCACTTGACATTACGTGAGTTATATGAATTATGTTATGAAATTTCGTGCTTACGCACAAAATAAAAATCTACCCGCGAAATTGCTATAAATTAGACTTAAGGCAAATTGCCAAAAATGTTCAGATTTCTTCTTAGGTGTTAATAAATGGCTGTAAGCTCGAAACAATTGTTATTACTTTGACATACGCGAGCTATAGGAAATATATGAAATTTCATGCCTACGCACAAAGCAAAACTCTACCAGTGATATTGCCCTAAATTAGACTTAGAGCAAATTGGAAAAAGGTTTAGATTTATTCTTAGGTGTCAACAGATGACTGTAAGTATTGTTTTTCACCCTCCTGCCTATCTATTTTAGTCTTACCATCCTTGTTGTCCAGACAGAAACGGCAGTCACCTGCCGTGTACGATGTGTGTGTATCACACCTCTGTCAACGCAAGTCGGTCAACTACTGACCGACAAAAGAATGTCAAAATAATAATACTGCTCTTTCCAAAAGTTTGAACTGATGACTATCTACTTTTGAAATAAAAGTATATAAAAGAACAATATTTTGAGATAAATAATTTTTTAAGATTTTGAGACAAATAATTAAAATCAAAGATTATGTTACAGATGTGTCAGTGATCTCTTCTCGTGTCGGAAAGCAAAAGTTAATGAAGAAATGTGTTAAAGTGAGAACAGGCCTCACAGTTAAAATACGCGCTAGTTACCACTGTTCTGCTAACAGCAATATAATTTTATGATTAAAACATGCTGATGAGAGTATGGCATTTAAATCAATGCTTAACAACACCCCCACATCATACTATTAGTAGACATAACCCCTAATGAAAATGTCAGCAGGCCTTCATTTCCGAACGTTCACTCTAATGGTATAAAAGCGTGCTTGAATTAATCATGGGTGGAAGTGGTTCCTTCAATAGGCAGATCTTCCTCGCTGTCGTTCGGTTGAACGTATAAACTAAAAGGATTGAAACTGTGAATGAGAACAGAGCCATCGTGCGCTTTGCTCTGAAAACCCATCGGAAAACTAGTAACTTTGAACACTTTCATTTCACTGTATTCAACATTTATTAGTGTTGACAAATGCTTACGCTCGTACTTCAGCCAATTCAATAATCAATTTATAATCCTTATTCTTACGTGCAGCTGGGGCCGTTTGTGTGTAATGGTATGCAGATGTTGTGTTTACTTTTATCTCCGTATTTCTGACACAACTTGGACTTTTGACTTTATGGTTTTCCGATTGATTAGAGGAATTATGTATGTCCGACAGGGTGATTAACTGATTGACTGTTGACTTTTTCAACAGATTGACCGGTTATTGGCTTGTACTTACAACTGAGTCAATCGAGATCTAACGGCAGTATAGATACTGTCCAGAACACTAAAAAGGCAAATGGTCGAGAGGACAGCATGGAAAAAGGGAATGAGTATGGAAACCACGGGGGTACTGCTACAAACTACTCGTTCGTTATCCGTTTCCTTTATTATTACGCTTTGTTTTAAACCGGAAGTTTTCAAAGCCAGCATCCCACCAAAGCGAGCGCTGAGTCTATTAATCCCCACTCCTGACTACCGAAACCCATTTTTAGAGTAGTCAGACTATCTCGAAGTTTCACTGTTACTTTCTTCAGACTAACCGATGTGTAAACAGAGACCAAAATCTCCTTTTCCATCTGCAGTAGACAGGAGGTCTTTACTTCTAGCCGCCTAGTTTGTGCTGCGTACTGCTGCGACAAAAATTTTGTTTTCTTTTTTTTTGGGAGGGATGACTGTGTTCTCTGTCTCCTCAATGTAAGGGATTATGATGCAAATCAAGCTTCCACCGATCCAAATCAGGAGCTCTCTGTCCGTAATGCTGATGTCAGCATTTTGAAGAAAGAACCACTGAATACACCGCAACCAAACTTTTAAATGTTACTAAAGGTACTCAGATTAAGATTCCAGCCAGTAACATAAATCTGACATCAACACGATTTGTAGGATTGATTTATCAAAGAGAGTGCATCTGTAGGCCCTTCAGGGTACTACTTTTTTTTCAAAATAACCATTAGTGCTTTGACAATAGCTGTTAGTTTATCTCGCTATACTTAAAAGACAAAATTACTTCTTGTTTGCGTCTTAAGACTATCAATGTCAGACATAGAATTGTTCTAGTACGTTTTTTAGATCTCACCATGTCTTATTTGTAGAGTGCGTGAATGTACTGATTAAAATACATTGAAACAGTGAAGCGCGCTAATACGACCTTATGCAGTTGCGAGCACCGTAAAAACACTTACCAAAAAAAAAATGAAACAGTGATTGAGAACAGTGTCGTTACGCAAGCAGTCATTCAGTCAATCAAATTTCGCAAAAACTGATTTAACCTGGACCCAAGATAAGGCATACATTTTTTTTCGATGGCCTGACTCAAAAGATGTGTGGGTGTTTTCATCGTGTTCAAATAGTCCTCGCCAACTTGCCACTCTGTTTGATTTTAAAATACTCCATAGCTGTGCAGCCCAAATAATGATTAATATTGTCACCTAAACTCTTTATGCACACTGCATCTGATGCCGACCAACTAATTGATTTTTCTAGTTATTATACTTTCGCTTTTACTTTTGCCCCCCCCCCCCCCTTTTTTTTCCCACGCAAATCTCCGAGAAGGTTTCTTTGTTGTCCACCTTCCGAAAAAATAAAAATATTTCTTCTAAAATACCTCGGAAAGCACATTACATTAAACAAAATCACAAAGGAAAAGCTTATTTTATTGACAAACACTTCTCCGATGAATGGAATACACGATTGAGCATAACACCTACCTGTTCCTGTCATTGTCAATGGCAGTCACCAAATAGGTTTTGGCTTCGCATCAACAAACGCACAGTTACTTCTGAAGTCCAGAACGCACCCAGCGCCCGATTTTTCTTGTCTTCACCAAAGAATATGGGTTTTCAGATACCTAGTTCTTGCACGCAGCCTGGCGAGGCCTGAACCTCCGCCCCCGCGCATTTCGAGGCCCGAAATCCATAGGTGCCGTCCGCGACTCTGTGTCCGCCCGTGTGAATTAACTGATTCGCTTGAAATCAAACGGACAAGCTGATTAATGCGAAAGAACTCATTCCGCGTCCGCGTTTTTATCAAGCAGCGCGGCGCGGGTGAGCGAGGGGTCACGCGTGGAGGAGTGCCCCCGCCTGTCCGCTGACAGCAGCACCACCACCACCAACACCACCACCACCACCACCACCACCACAGCAGCAGCAGTAGCAGCAACAGCACCGACACCAACAACAGCACCGACCGACACCACCAGAACACAGAACAGATGGCAACACGAAGACACCGGAGCCCCCTCTCATAACGCCCACTGCTACGTCATCGGTCGCCACCACCCTTCTTTCCTTCAACGAACGAGAGTTTCACTCCTTGGTTCCGACACTCCGGCGCCGAATAGCTGTTCGCGCGTGTGTTTGCGAACTGTGAACCCGCGCCGATCGCACCAGATTGTTAGCGTAGAAAGAGAACAGACCTTTGTCTGCAATTATTTGACCAGCAGCCAGCAGCACATTTGAGATAGCATTCTTGGGTCGATTTCACAAGTTCCACACAAACTGTTTTCTTGTAACAGATAATTTACCCAGGAGGTAAATTATGATAGTTATTACAGACACACACACACACAAACACACACACACTCACACACACACACACACGCAAACACACACACACACACACACACACACACACACACATGTACAGTGGCGTCCAAAAGAGACTCGACAATATATTTTATGCCCATGTATCGTGTTTAAGTATTGCACTACCCACTCATACAACATACCAATGTAAAGCCAAATCAATTCTGGATCATTTGACAAAGTATATTAATGCTACTTCTTTGATATTTGTCCTAGATAGGGTCATTCAAAATTATTCTTTGAAAATCAGCTGTGGCAAAATTTTGTGAAATCAGAGAAACTTAAAAGCGCTTGTGTGTGTATTGGAGTACATTGTACATCAACACTGGTGAAATGGACATATGGTGCAAATCAAATGAACAGAGAATTCTAGATCTACAGGGTTGTTCAAAAAGTTTTGCCTCCAAGTTCATAATTTCTTTATTACTGATGCTGCATACAAAAGCTATACACCAAATAAAAGCTTAGGATGTCTGCTACATTGCAGTACGTTTACATATCAAAATAGTCGCCTTCCTTGTCGATGCAGATCCGCCAACGTCGGTTAAGTTGTCGCATGCTGTCGGTGAAAAATTCATGTGGTTTTCCTCTTAACCAGCGACGTACATCTTCTTGAACTTCATCGTTATCTGCATAACGTTTTCCTTTCAGGTACTCCTTCAACTTACGAAAAAGATAAAAGTCAGATGGAGCAAGATCTGGACTGTATCATGGGTGTGGTAAGGTATATTGAAATTTGACACTTTTCATGGCATCTTGAGTTTGTCGACTCGTGTGTGGACGGACGTTGTCGTGGGGCAAAATTACATTTTTTCCGGGCCGAACTCGTGACAGCTGTGCTCTAAGTTTTCTCAGGGTCTCAATATATCTTTAAGAATTGATAGTGGAACCCTGTTCCAAAGATTCCATATAAATCAGACCACTGCAGTCCCAAAACACTGTCATAAGCACTTTCTTTACAGATGAAACAACTTTGAACTTCTTGGGGCTAGGTGAGCAAGTGTGCCTGTATTCTTTCGATTGTCTTTTGTTCTCTGGGTCATGATGGTGTACCCAAGTCTCGTCTCCTGTGAATATGGCGTAAGAAAGCTTCACCTTCATCAGTATATTGAGCCAGGAGTTCATCACTAACTTGACTTCGGTTCAATTTCAGCTCGGGTGACTACCTGTTGGGAACCCACCGTGCACACATTTTCCTGTAACCCAACACATTATGGATAATATACTGAGCACTCTCTACAGAAATCCCGATCATTTCACTGACATCGCTTACTTTGATCCGCGGGTTTGCTTGGATGATCTCTTCCACTCTCTCCTGGTACGGAACATCACTGGCAGAGTTAGGACGACCACAACGAGCTTGGTCATGCAAATCTGTCTCTGCTGGATTGGTTTCAGCAAACTCCTTTGCCTATCTTCGAACAGTACTTACACCTACACATGCTTCACCATAGACAAGCTTCATTCGCCTATGAATATCAATGGGTGCAGCTCCCTCTGATGTAAGGAACTCAATAATAGCTCTTTGCTTTCAGCGCACATTCATAGGTTTGCTGGACGCCATTTTCTCGGCGACAATGTACCCTAGCTTCTATATTGTAAGCAGCAATAGCATGAAAGTGTGACATCATAGCATAATTCTGTTGGGTTTTTTTGGCTTGAGAGTATACATATTGAAAGTCAATTGTGTACAAATTTCATGAAGATCTTGAATAGTTTAGAAGTTATTGGAGAGAAGGCAAAACTTTTTAAACCACCCTAGTATGTCTAAAATAAACTGTTTTACTCTAAAGGTATTACATAGAAAGTGGACTTGTCATTATATGTGTTGATTTATGTTGTTTAAGAACCATTGGCTTCGTCTAGGGCATGAACCTTTTTTTCGGCCCAGACTATTAAATTTTATACATAATCATTTGTCAGTGAGGAACAGTACTACGGAACTGTCATGGTTTGGGGTGGTCTGGCTGGAAAGAACAAAGCCCTCCAGTGAGAATCAACGGAAGGCTTTTGTGCAGAGGGCTACATCGTGCAAGATACTGGAGCGTCACTTCTTACTCTTATTTTTTCGTGGTCTCCTTCAACAGACATCTTCGCACATGACAACGCACCTCATAGGGTCAACATCAAGAGAAAATATTTAGAAAAGCAAAACATACCTACGATTAAATGGCCAACAGTAGATTATAGTCCCGGTAAGAATCCTATAGAAAACATATGGAGTCTTCTTGAAACGGCAGTTGAAGATATTTGAATTTGTTACCAATTTAAACTCTTAGTTCAAATCTCTCTGAGACATTTGGGATAAAATAGATTAAAATTATGTCAAAAATCTAAAACCCTGTAGAATTTGTTGTTTGTTTTTACTCAGATAAAAGCGTGACAAGTAAAGACGGTCAAAGACCTTTGAAGAAAAAAATGGGAGGACACTTCACTGAAACCTCTGTCTATAGACATTTCTTGGGAGGTATGTACAATGTTGCCGGGCAACCGTACATGACGTGGGTCATCATCATGAAGTCAGGCTCTCGTCAAAATGATGAAATCGAAGAAACCAATATTTTATGGACCTTGGACAATTTCTGTCGAATTTTCTTTTCTTTGTTGTTGTTTTTGTTTTTGTTGTTGTTGTTTGTTTGTTTGTTGTTGTTGTTGTTTGTTTGTTGTTGTTGTTGTTGTTTGTTTGTTTGTTGTTGTTGTTGTTTGGGGGGGGGGTTGTTGTTGCTTCTACGCAATATCTTTTATGTTCACCTTTTATTCTAAAACCACATTTCTGTGTGGATTTTATGGAGAAAAAAACGTTGAGCATTTAAAATGTAAACTTACAGTCACCACATTTTGGCAGTCATTTTCTCACGTAATTCACCTCTGAAATCAGGTGACCCCCACCTCTCTTATTCTTAGTTTTGGTCAGGTTTTATGGCGCCCGCAAGTGCATAATGGTCATACATAACCTCTCTTATTTTTTAAAAATTCAAAATAATGTCTCGACTTCTGTCAAAAGATACATGGATGTTTTGTTCACCAAAAGCAAGGAAAACGAACAAATTTCAAGATGCTACTAGCACCAAAATAACTCCACAAGGCCCTCAAGCTGCCAAAAGCTAGAAAACATCATCATGTAACACATATAGATGGACATTTCTATTTCAATCCATTTCATGAGTTTGTCTCTTGTCATATGTGTCCAATCTGGCAAGTCTACGTTTAGAAATGAATTCAGACCCAATATCTTTTTGTGATTCCCAATCCGCACAACTAATTTAGTCGGCATTCCCAGTTGTAAATGGCTTTAGTGTGTTAGAAAGAGACTGCACAGATTTGGTCTTACAAATGTAATAGTGTACCCTAGTCAACCCCGGTTAACCCCAATATCTAAGTTAGAAGCAGTTCACCTTCAGAATGATCTACTCCCCGTGTCCTGTAGGTGTTGTTTTAGAGCAGTGAACAAGAATTAATTCTAGGCTGTACAAACACATCTGGAATAACAAGTTGTTTTTCCAATATACTCACACAGTCGTGATAACGTCGTTATTACCTGACTGTTTTCTTCTCTGGGGTGCTAACCTCGGTTTTACATATACATGATATATGAGTGTATATATATATATAATTAACCGATTTTAAGTTCTCAGGCATCGTTAAGAAATAAGTCAGTGATCATTTGAAAGAGGAGTTATCTAACATTTGAATAGATGTTACATGTGCTGTTGTCGCGTCGTTCTTCTTTTGAAGGATATACCGATACAGGACAAACCTATCTCGATATGTTCCTAAACTGTCTCTTCCCATTACAGCAAGCAGATTTGCATGACTTCATTTTTCAACAAGATGTAGCACCACCCCATTGGTATCAGGTGGTTCTATCTTTTTTTTTTAATGGAAAAATGCCCCAGAGATGGATTGGGTGGAAAGGGGCCCAAAATCTTGCTCTCTGTGCTTTGCCTGCCAGATCCCCAGACCTCAGCGTGTATGGGTTGTTTTTTGTTGTTGGTTGTATTTTTTCGCGGGGGGGGGGGTTGTGTGGATATATAAAAAGATTGTGTTTTATTCCAACGTTACCCACTAACCCGATGACCCTAGAAAATCAAATAACAACACAGCGATCAGATCAACTCAGTGGACTGTGATGTGCTGAAACGCGTCTGAGTTGAATTCTCTTATTGCATTGATGTTACCCTTGCTGCTGGTGGTGGCCACATGGAACACTTGTAAGATAGGAAATAAAAATTGATTCTGAATACAAAATGCGTGACTCAGCCCGATATTTCTATTTCTTTTCCCTTTTAAAGTAATGCGTAATGATTCATTGTTCTTTAATCACCCTATAAAGTATATATTATATATAAATATATATATATGTAATATTATATATGAATGTGTGTATGCGCGCGCGCGCGCGTGTGTGTGTGCTGCATCATGGTGGAATCAAGTATTCGTCAATATTACTAAATCGCAAAAATCTGAATTGTTCTGCCCGTTTGTGTT